ATGTAGGTATTCTCATCCGCCATTTTGGTTCCTACTAGATGGAGAATTATAGCGTATATAGTATAGTATAGCGTACATGTGTAACACGTCAATTATTAAAAATGATTCAGGACTTTTTTCGACTCATTTTTTGGCAAGGAATAACGCTATGTACTTAGTGGGCAGTCTTTAAGTGTCACCCTGTATACGCTATAATTCTCCATCTAATAGGAACCAAAATGGCGGATGAGAATACCTACATATCTAGTGCCTTACTTTTTCCTCACCCTGTATACAAGTTTCGAGTTTTAAGTTGGCTATTCTGAAAAGTTACCAGTCGGTTAAAGTTAACCGACGTTGGAAAAAGTGGTCCTTATGCAAGTAGTTGAACAATATAATAAAAATAAAGTTAGTGATAAACGTATAACCTTACAAATCTCTATTTATGTTACAAAATATATTAATAAGTAATGTAATAAATTCAATACAAATATAATTTTATATTTCAATTATTCCTAGGCTGCGTTCCGTAAAACGCATATGCGTGCATGTATCTATAGTATACATAACATATACTATAGATACATGCGCGCATATGTGCTTTACAAAACACAGTCCTAGTAACCCAAAGTGGAATCTAGTAACCCCGGAATGGAACTTGTGACGTCATTATTCGCTCTCGGAGCGAGTAAACCTGTGCCAGTCGAAAATGCTATAAGATTGATTAGCTAATTTGTTTATCGCTTAAATTTTACTGCTAAGAACCACAGCACAAACTTTTCTATAGCACGTTACATTACGTTACGTATCGGCCGCAAACTTAGGCTCGCACATAAACTTAAAGTACAGTCAATGCACAAACAAAAGGTAACGTAACATAAGACATAAGCGAGTACAAGCATTTTAAGAAGAAAATTCTGTAACTATAATAGTAAGTAAATCATGTGTTATTATTCAATATTTTAAAATCGATATAAAATAAATTATTTAGTACAACTTTGTTATAGTAGTTTATTTTTGTACTTAGATATTGTTAAAATATGATATATAACTTCTTATTTTCAAGTAACCATCTCAACGTGGATTTTTCTATTTTCAATATTATGGATCATCAGTATAGTTCCTATAACATTCAGAATGAAGAATGGTTAGACATCAAAGACGAAGAAATTATTATCGAAACAGATAATGGAGATGCAACTGATACCAATATCTATGTCCCAGACAAAACAGGCGACGATTATCTAATAAAACTGTATAGAGAAAGAAAATTTTTGTATGATAAGAAACATCGAGATTTTAGAGACAACGAATTAAAAATTGATGCCTGGAAAGAAATTTCAACAATCATGATAAAGGATAAAAATTTTGGTGAGTAAAATTCTTTATTACAGCATGATCCCAGAGAACATTAAAACTTAATATTTTAAAGATGTACTAAAATTCTGAAAACAGCTTAAAAATTTTTCAGAAAGAAAAGTTTGTAAGACATTTTACATCTCGATTTGTAATGTCTTAAAGATGCCTTATTTAAGAGTATGTTTAGATATTAATATATGTAAAATTATAAGCTTTCTTACAACATTTACAAAAATGAATACTACAGGATATATTATTTACTATAGTAACATATCTGTGAATATTACATTGTTTTTTAACTCGTTTTCCTTGAAATTGTGATTTTACATACAATAATCTTGTTTCTCTTTATTATTTAATTTGAATAATCATCAGACACTTTTTTTAAAACATTGATCCTGTTATCAATTGTATTTCCATCAGTCTTATGAATAATTTTCTCACAAATCAAGTTTAATAATTTTTTATTTGAAATATACTAGATTTATTTAATTTTAATATGGATTGTATTGATTATTTTTATTTAAATAAATGCAGATAATATAAATGTGTATGTGCGTGTGTTTGAAAAGTGCCTTACAAAAGCTATTTTAAGACGTTTTAAGAAAATGTTTTTAGGACATTTTTCAGATATATTTGTTCTCTGCGATAGATCTTCAATATGTATGTAATAAATTAATTTCTTTTTTCATTATTTGTAAAACAATTATTTAATTAATATTTTCCAGGAAATTATTACACGGCTGAATATTGTAAAAAAAGAATGACAACATTAAGAGAACAATATTCGAAGTTAAGGAGAAAAAATGAATTGAACAGTGGAAGTGCAACTTATAGTAAACAGAAATCTTTACTTTTATCGCAATTGTCCTTTCTACATAAATACATTCAAAGAAGACGGTCAGTATTTTACATAGTTCTTACATACAAAGGACCCCGCACAAAACCATGGGAAATTGCATTTTGGTAAAATTTTTTGAAACTCTGGGGATCGATAGTTTATGATCCCCTAAGAAAAGTCTGTGAGTATGAAGCCCCACAAATCAAATGTTGGGCCTCCAGAATCATTGGAAGGGTCAAAAACTGCCAAAAATCGGTAATTTTAAGTAATGTTAGATATCCATCTACCCAAGTATTAGAAAGTGTCTTAGATATGAGTAACTTAAATGTTAATCACGTTTTAGAAACAATTGAACTTACCATTTAAATACTCACGCACGCACATACATACACTCCACACACACACACACACATTTTCACATATTTTAACTGTCATACATGTTCGAACACAATCGCAGATAAGCAGGTAAGAGCAGTACAGTTGATAACTCATTTACTTAAAATAAACGATTTTTGGCAGTTTTTGACCCTTCCAATGATTCTGGAGGCCCAACATTTGATTTGTGGGGCTTCATACTCACAGACTTTTCTCAGGGGATCATAAACTATCGATCCCCAGAGTTTCAAAAAATTTGACCAAAATGCAATTTCCCGTGCGGGGTCCTTTCTATATATTAATATTTATATGCACATTAAATTTTTATTTTACTTTTATTTAATTTTTTCCATAGAAATTTTACAAATACGGAAAAAGATAAGAATGCCCAAATATCTGCTACTTTTCTTAATAAGAATGCAGCTGCATTGCAAGAAACAAAAGTGGCAGAAAGTGACGATTTGAAAAGAGAATTTGAAACATCTTCGTCAAGCCAGGATAATACTGAATACGATTCGACTGATGATCCTATATTTTATGAAAAATCACGTAAAACAATGAAAAAAAAACCTGCAAAAAAAAGCGATAAAAATGACACTTTACATGACCTAACTAACGCAGTTGTTGATATTTGTACTCAGCTAAAATTGAATTCAACATCACATAGAGACGTTAGTTCCAAATCTGCAGAACAAGCTTTTTCACAATTCATTGCTTTTTCTTTACAAGCAATGGAAGAGCCGGAACGCAGTATAAGACGAAACAAAATATTTCAAGATCTTACTACACCAATCGATCAGTTGTAAGAAGATGTCTATTTCTTTTCAAATATTTTGAAATTTTCTTTTAATTTAATTACAAATTTTTTTCATTTTGTTTTATTTCTATTTTATTCGTATCTATTTCATTTTGTTTTTGTTTAAGTTTTTGATAAATAAGTATTTATTCACGAGTATAGAATCAATCTTTTTTAGTTTATTCTACGTCCAAATTTAACCAAAGGTGTATTTAAAGTTTGCGTTGAGAATGTAAATGCTGAAATGGCAAATTAGTATAAATGTAATAATTATAAATATAATAATTTTATAATAATTTGCCATTTAAGCATTTATTTTATTGAAATATTTTTATTTTATTAAAACTAGCGTATAAGCCAAAAATATTAAGATATGAGTTATTGCAATATTAATATAAAAAATATTAAGTGTTATTTTTGCTGGTACAATCTGTAATTTTGCTGTATAATGTGTATTTAATAAGGATTTGCTACAAAGTGTGTGTTTTAATATTTTTAATAAATATATATTAATATATATTTATAATAATATATATTTATAATAATATATAGTTATAATAATATATATTTAGTAAATATGGAATTCAAAATATAAAAAAATGAAAAGGAAAAAACGCATATGTCATCTGTAAATGAAAATCGTACAATAACACATTTTAAACCGTATTTAAAATCTTTACATTATTAAGGACCTCTCGCAGACGGTTGTAGTAATCCTCAATACAAAATAATTGGACGATCAGATATGTGGCTACAATGTGGAGTACAATCAGATAACTGTTGTGGTTTAATTAATGAGAATATTGTAAATATTCTTAATATAGCAACGTGTTTACAGCGAAATACTTTAGTTATAATAGGTCAAGAATTTTTTGAGAAACAGGATTTGTATACAGTTCCTTGCCCGTCACCATTGTCGGAATATTTTTAGTGTCTTTGAAGTCACGAATAAAAGTATGGCCATTAACAGATATTGTAGTAAAATACGTGAAACTAGCATATTCTAATAAGTAAGTTTGTCGTGCTCCCATTATTGCATAGAGAAAAATCATTGCATAATGCAAAGAAATTTGGCCATAATTGAAGTACGAAGAGTTTATCCAACATTAAAAGTAAATCAACACATACAAAACTTGATATTATCTTTCGTCACCGTCGCGAATAGGAATTAGTACAAAATATGATTGATTTGAATTGTATGTTTTACTAGCTTAAACTAATCAAATATAAAATGTTTATATTTAAATATGTATTTTGTTTCTTAATTATAAGTATTTTAAGCGCGTAGCGTGCGCTTGTGACCTAGTTGTATTAAAATACGTATATCGCAAATGTCGCAATATACAGGGTGTCAATTAAGTCCCGGGACGGCTGAATATTTTCTCATGTAAGGTATTTTTGAAAAAGGTCAAGGTTATTTTTGAAGTAATTTTCAACGAGGAATTCAACGGTGACCTTCAATTTGACCTTGAGCTTGACCTTCAAGGTCATTTCAAGGTTAGGTTAAGTTTTTTAAATAGAAACCCCTATTTTTGATTCCAAAATCTAATAGCTGGTGTCAAGAGCTTTTCAAAACACTATAATGAAGTTATTTTTTATTAACTTTTCGAGTTGTGAGGCTTGTAAATTACAGTATTTTGACATAAAATACAAAATATCTTGTAAAACATTCAATTTTTGGGAATCTTACCTTAATACTTTTATGCATAAAATAATGAGACGAATCAATTGGTATAAAGAAA